TCGAGCTCTTAAAAATGTAATTGTCATATCTCTCTCTCTCTCTCTCTCTCTCTCTCTCTCGTGGATGTGTAAATAATTATACAGGTGTGATGGCGAGGTCGTGGACAGGTGGCAGCAGACGGTGTGTGACAGGTAGATCGTCATTATCTTAAAATAACACCCAAGTCATGAGAGCAGCACACCTCATAGACAGATGGAGGTGCTGACGGAAGATTACTGAAAAAAAGGAACAGACGAAAGTTACGAGACGGTAAAGGACAGGCTTATTGGTGTTAGGATACTGAAGTTAGAAGATTATTGAAGTTAGAGGATTATTGAAGTTAGGGGATTATTGAAGTTAGAGGATTATTGAAGTTAGAGGATTATTGAAGTTAGGGGATTATTGAAGTTAGAGGATTATTGAAGTTAGAGGATTATTGAAGTTAGACGATTACAAAAACTTCACATCATTGTTTATTGATTTTTTTTACTTCTTATTCTCAATACTCAATTTCTATTATTTATTTTTTCCACAAATTTATTTAATCCATTACGTCTTAACACAAACAAACAAACAAACACATAAGAATGCTACTCTCACCTACATTTACCTGTCTCTTAATTAGACGTTTAATGGCCTCTTTAACACGTCATCAACTAAGGGAGATAATTAACTCTATCCCGTGAGGTCAAAGTTCAACTGGGTGGCACTGGTGGTGTCAGGGTCGGAGGTGCTGGTGGGGTAGTGGTAGGTGGTGAGTTGGGGTGGTGAAGGGGGGAGAGCAGGGTGAAGGGGAGGGCAGGGTGAAGGGAGGGATGGGGAGAGGAGAGTAAAGAAGGAGGGGTAAAGTGGGAGGGGGTGAAGAGGGGGGCTGGAGGAGGACGAAGACGAGGTGAAGGGAGAAAGGTGACCATGAGGAGGAGGAGAGAAGGGGAGAAGCGAGGAGAGGAGGGTGAAAGGAGGAGGAGGAGGAGGGGGTGAAAGGGAGGAAGAGGAAGGGAAAGGAGAAATTAATAGGGAGTTTGTCTTGTTCAGGAGTTTTGAGGTGGGGGAGCGGGGGTATCATCTGTCTCTCTCTCTCTCTCTCTCTCTCTCTCTCTCTCTCTCTCTCTCTCTCTCTCTCCTCCAATATCATATCTACACCAACCTTCATTAGCATGGAGAACTCGCCCGTGTCGCCTTCCACACTCCCACTGATAACACTAATGACATTACGTTTAGCTCGACTCTATGACCAGCCGTGACCTTATTTTACCACCGGACCTTCGTGTAGTTAATGACCCAAGGTGGAGGTGTAACTGCCGGGGAAATGAGTCCAGGGGTGTGTTTAAACAACCGCCAGAAAGTGAGTTTTATGGTTCAGGATGATTCATAGTGTTGGTGGCGGCAAATTTGACTCAATCTGTGGAACTCCGAATCTCGTTTTTGTAAAGAGTTAATATGAGGGTAAGACTGTGTGTATTTATTGAGCTAACCAACTAAATGACTGACTAGCTGACTGACTAACTAACTGACTGACTGGCTGGCTGACTGACTGACTGACTGGCTGGCTGACTGACTGACTGACTGACTTTCTTTTGGTTAAATTGACTTGAATGTTTACCCCTGTTTATATTTCCGTACTCTCTATGGATGTGATGAACTTGCCTGTCTGTCTGTCTGTCTGTCTGTCTGCTCAACTGTAAATGAGTAGCTAACATTTTAGTTTGGGAAGTGTAAACGATCGAGTTCCGTGCCTGTATTTTGAAGGCTTAGTATAGCGCGTTCTGCATCCTTACCTTACCTTACCTTACCTTACCATACCTTACCTTACCATACCTTACCATACCATACCTTACCTTACCTTACCTTACCTTACCATACCTTACCTTACCATACCTTACCTTACCTTACCTTACGTAACTATGACAATACTTTCAGCGTGGTTTAAATAAATAGCAAAACACCTTTCAATACCTGTGCATGATGACCTTTTGGGGAGCACCTGGTGGAGTCACACACACACACACACACACACACACACCTGTATAATTCTCTCAGATCACCAGGTGTATTGTTCTGTGTGGTGTCTGACTGTTTGTTAGTCTATTAATTTGTCTGTCTCAATGTGTCTTTCACTCTTTTCTTTATCTGTCAATTCTCTCTCCCCCCCCCTCTCTCTCTCTCTCTCTCTCTCTCTCTCTCTCTCCAGGTATAGAATAATTCACCTGTGCTCACCTGGCTATGAGGACACATTAACCTGAGCCGTGTGTGGCGCTCTCCTCCACCATGGTGTGGCCACCTGCATGTTTGATGCTACCAAAGGTTAAGCATATCTCTCTCACCGCCTCCCCTCCCCCTGCAGGTGGCTGAGAGAGAGAGAGAGAGAGAGAGAGAGAGAGAGTACTATAATCTTTTAACATTATATTGAAGAAAAATCTCAGTTAGGATCTTTACTTACGAGGTGTGATTGTGTTGCGTGAAGCGCGTGCCTCCAGCGACCCCTTGTTAGCACGCTGGTTCAACTTGCCGTGATTACAGTCATACAGGTAAAGTAATTACACCTGGTACCTTAATAATGGTATTGATTAGGGCGTTTCTAACCTCAGCCACCTCCACAATTTACTGATAACACTGGCCAGTCATTCGCACGCACCGCACCGCTCTATAATGATGAATGAAAAAGAAATGGAATTCTTATATAACTCTGAGATATAAATGTAAATATATACACCCCAGGGGAAGGAATAATTGATAATTAACAAGACTTACGTGTGAATTGAATGTTATCCTTTGTATAAAATAAAATAAAAATTAAGCGTGAGGGATATACACCAGTTCAGACACTCGTGTTTAGATGTTATTGTAGTAGCCAGAGCGTGTTTGTTGTGGTAGTGATCGTCTTTTGTTTCCATTGCATGTAAACAAACCATCCACGGCTTGGCGGGAGGAGGAGGGGCTATGTGGACACTCTCGTACACCTCGACAGTGACAAGGAAAAGAAGGAGGGGGAGGAGAGGGGGGTGGTGGAGGGGGGAGAGGGGTGGGGGGGGGCGACAGTCCTCCACACGCGTCTCCTCAGGTATTCTGGCTACCTGACGAAGGACTCATTAGATATGTTGTGGCGTGTGTCTTCCCTGACGAAGGTATTAGGGAAATGTCACACCTTTCTCATGCTCGTCACGAAGTCCAGGTAAGAAGAACTCCAGACGGATACCTAATCGAGTTTTTCTCTGCCTTTTTCTCCTTATTATCGTGAGCTGTATTTTTTATTATTCCCTCGCTGGAACCTTCGCCTCGTAGTGGGGAGGTGTATAAATATGTGCTCTCTGTGTGTCTGTCTGTCTGTCTTCCTGTCTGTCTGTCTGTCTGTCTGTCTGTCTATCTCGGAGATAAGTTAATAGCTTGTCTTGAAACTTCATACAATAAAAAGATCAACTAACTACCTAACTAAAACTAACTACCTAACTAAAACTAACTACCTAACTAGCTAAAACTAACTAAAACTGACTAAATAAACCTAACTAACTAAAACTAACTAACTAACTATATCCCTCAGGCAGGAAGGACGATAAGAAACACGCTACAATAATTTACCGCCTCCGCCACACTCGCTAATTGAACCAAAATGTGTCACAATTGGGTGAGAAATGACAGTGTTTGTGGCGGTGTTTGTGTAAGGGAGGGGGGTAATGGGGGGAGGGACGTTGCTTATGCTTCTGTATGTGTGTGTGTGTGGTGGAGGAGGTATTTGTGTAGGGGTGTGTGTGAGGGGGCAGTGTATGTGTAGGAGGTGGGGGAGTGTTTGTGCGTATGTATGTGTGTATATGTGATGAATTATACAGCACCAGTATAACGTCCTCCTCTTCTTCCCCTCTTTCCTTCCCCTCTCTTCTTCTCCCCATCTTCTTCCCCTCTTCTTTATTTCTCTTTCCTTCCTTCCTCATTTTCTGTCTGTTTTCCCTCCCTTTCCTTCCATCCATTGTTCTACTTTCCCCTTCCTCTCTCTCCCTTTACGCTTTGCTTCCACCCATATCCCATCCACCCTCCCTCACTCACCTACGCCCTCCCTGACCCTCCCACACCTTCCCTCGCCCTCCCTCACTTTCCCACACCCACCCTCACCCTCCTACACCCACAATACCCACCCTCACCCTCCCACACCCACCTACTTTCTCCTCACCCTCCCTCACCCCCCTCACCTACCTAGTCTCTCCCCTCACCTTCCCTCACCTCCCTACCATCACCCTCCCTCACCCATTTACTCCTTCTGCCCTCCACACCCTCCCTCACTCTCCTCACACTTCTCCCTCCCTCTCTCTCTCACCTTCCTCACCCACCTTCACCTCACCCTCCTCTCCCTCCTCCCTCTCTCACCTTTCCTCACCTCCTTCACCCTCCTCACCCTCCCTCTCCCTCCCCCCCCTCTCTCTCACCTTCCCTTATCCACCCTCACACTTCCTCACCTCACCCACCCTCACCCTCCCTCACCCTCCCTCACCCATTCATCAATTATTACATACCAGACGCTAAGTAAAATGACAGAAAGTTGAAATACCAGCGTAGTTGACTGAATGGTTGATGTAGGTGGGTAGTTATGAGTCTGGTTGATGTATGGTTGGCTGACTGAATGGCTGAATAGTTGGTTGATTGAATGGTTGATGAAGGTGATAGTTAACTGTCTGGTTGGTGAATGAATGGTTCTCTGACAGGTTGTGGTTGATTGATTGACGGACTGGTTGACAGACTGATTGATCCGCTGACAGTCTAACTGGCTGGCATTTACTGTTAGGAGAGAAGTAAGAGTTATAAAATTAGTGTTTTAACAAAGGAACCAGATAGATAGATAGATAGATAGTCAAGTTGTCTATTTTAATGGGAGAGAAGGAGAGGGATAGAGCGAGGGAGTGAGGGAGTGAGCGAGCGAGTGAGTGAGGGAGAAAGGGAGTGAGTGAGGGAGAGAGCGAGTGAGTGAGGGAGAGCTGAATGGAGGGGGAGTACACTGCCTCACCACCCATGGGTCACGGTTGAATTATGAGTCATGAATGCTTCAGTGTCGTCCCGTCCTGGTGAATGTCACCAGCTGCGTCGCCTGCCAGCTACGCCGCTCACCACGCTGGGTCACCACGCTAGGTCACCACGCCAGGTCACCACTCTGGGTCACCACGCTGGGTCACCACGCGCTAGCTACCACTCTGGGTCACCACGCCGGGTCACCACGCCAGGTCACCACTCTGGGTCACCACGCTGGGTCACCACGCTAGGTCACCACTCTGGGTCACCACGCTGGGTCACCACGCTAGGTCACCACGCTGGGTCACCACGCTGGGTCACCACGCTGGGTCACCGCGCTGGGTCACCACTCTGGGTCACCACGCCAGGTCACCACGCTAGGTCACTGACTCTGGGTCACCACACGCTGTCACCACGCTAGGTCACCACTCTGGGTCACCACGCTGGGTCACCACGCTAGGTCACCACGCTGGGTCACCACGCTGGGTCACCACGCTGGGTCACCGCGCTGGGTCACCACTCTGGGTCATATGAGTCCTGTAACCTGCGTCATGTAGGAGTCTCTGGGATGTTAAGATAATACAGTATATACCAGGAAAGGGTCACTCCTTAATGAACCGACTGTAAGATGCTTGAAATATAGGATCGTAGGAGATCAGTTGGCTGGAGGAGGAGGAAGACGACGACGACGACGAGGAGGAGGAAGAGGAGGATGAGGACGACGAGGAGAGGGAGGAGGATTACATGTCTTCTAGGAATGGATGTTCGCTTAACTCACTGGAATGGTTGATCAAGAAGGAACCCCCACTCCCAAGATTGCCTGGCTGGGTCTCCGAGGCCACTGATCTAGGCAACTGGGAATCTATGGGAGGAGGTGGAGGAAGACGTTTGGTGGTGACTCTGGTGTTGGAGGTTGTGGAGGAGGTGGAGGAAGACGTTTGGTGGTGACTCTGGTGTTAGGGGTGTGGAGGAGGTGGAGGAAGACGTTTGGTGGTGACTCTGGTGTTAGGGGTGTGGAGGAGGAGGGAGAAAATGGGTAGGAGAGAGAGGGGTTAGCTGTGGAGGGAATGGGGGAGAAAGGGTCTTCTGCGAAAGGAAGAGGGGAGGAGGGGGATGGGAAGGGGTGGAATGGGGAGAAGTCAGCTGGGGAAGAGTTCAGATGTGGAAGGGAGTTGGGGACGAGACTTAGCAGAGGGTGGGGGGCGGGGAGTTACTTACGTTAGTTAGAAATCTTTATAAATCTCTCCCGGAAAACAGAGTTCCATAAACCTCTAATTACTTCCTTAAGTCTTATTGAGAGTCTCCAGAACTTTACAAAAAACATCAATAAGACTTGATAAGTCTCCTGGAGTTTTACAAGTCCCCACAAGTCAACACCATCAGACTTTCCTAACGCCCCATCTCATAGCTTCATTTATCATCTCGAACACACACACACACATACACACACACACACAGACAGACAGACATACACACACACACACAGACAGACAGACATACACACACACACACAGACAGACAGACATACAGCGTACACCCTTTTAACTCTCTTTTAGGAGCCTTCAACTAGCCTTTAGAAGTCTGGTTGCGGACTTCGAGGAACTGTTAAGCCCTGAAGGGATAGGGTCGTGAGGTCCCTGGAAACTAATGTAAGGTCTTTCATAGATGGATCTTAGCGCTTCTCTGTACCCGACCAAGACACTCCGGTAGTCCTGCTCTGGTTTTCATGTTTAAATAATCATACTGTAATGTCTGTCCGTCTGTCCGTCTGTCGCTAGTGTCTCTTGGTCTATCTCCTCCCCCTTACCATTCCCATCTCCCCTCTCCTCTCTCCTCTCCCTCTCCTCTCTTCCCCCTCCTTCCTAACCCCCTCTTCTCCTGTTACCTCTCCTCCCCCTCTCCCTCTCTCACCTCTCCTCCCTCCCCCCTCTCTCTCCCCCTTCTCCCCCCCCATTCTTCCTTCCCCTAACCCCCTCCCCCGTGAGCGTCGACCTTGTCAGCCCGTGTCACCAGCGCCATGGTCTACGGCGTGTTCGTGGCGGCACCGTGCCACTGTATCGTCAGCAGCGACACACCCTTGGCACTCACCACACGATTTATAACACCGGTGGCAAATTAATGGAAGTGTGTTTTTTTTTCTTACATTGATTTACAAGGTGGTGGTTCACGGCGTGTTTACAAGTGGTGTGTGTGTGTGTGTGTGTGTGTGTGTGTGTGTGTGTGTGTGTGTGTGTGTGTGTGTGTGTGACTTAAACTGCATCTCTCTCTCCACAGCAACAGAGTCAGCTATCTACAGACCCACTTGAGTGTGTGAATCAGAGGTGACAAAGGCTCAAGAGACCTGTCATATTTCTCAAGCTGTGTATGACTATATAAGTGACGCTCCTCCTTGACATTCATTTACACATATACTTTGTAAATCATGCCTCGTGTAGTCTCTTGTAAATTATGCCTTGTGTAGTCTCTTGTAAATTATGCCTTGTGTAGTCTCTTGTAAATTATGCCTCGTATAGCTTCCTGTAAATCATGTCTTGTAAATCATGCTTCTTATAGCCGATACAAAGTAGGACTCTTAAGCCATAATGCCATTGTATGCCAAACTATGCCACAAGATCCATTTATTTAAACGACTTATATTAAAATGCCTCTTTTTTATATTTCATTTATTCGTCTTACGCTAAAAAGTATATAATTTTATTTCCTCTTATCATGCCTTTGCTTTTAGCCATTGGATGCATTGATTGGTGTGAGGTATTACAGTATGCCCTCTCCCCACCCCCCTCCTAGTATGCCCTCTCCCCATCCCCCTAGTATGCCCTCCTCGTTCCCCCACCTTATTGTATGTTCTCTCTCCATCCTCCTAATATGCCCTCCTCCTCCATCTTATAGTATGCTTTCTCCCCATCCTCCTAGTAAGCCTTCCCCACCCTCCTAGTATGCCCTCCCCACCCTCCTAGGTATGCCCTCCCCCACCTCCTAGTATGCCCTCCTCCTAAGACTACTACAGGCCATAGTGTTTTATATAATCAGTCATCGATCATGGGTGTACCGTGTGGGTGTCTCCCCCTTCCGCCCTTTTTTTTTATGGGATAGTCCACCCGGGCACAGGTCACCGACTCACATCAGGCGAAAATGTAATAATAATAATAATAATAATAATAATAATAATAATAATAATAAAGAACCATAAAGAAATACAAAAATTAAAAAAGAAAGATGAAGTGAAAAACAATATATGTGTGTTGTGTTGTCAATGGTAAGAGAAACAATTGAGACCCTGTAATTGTGTGTAAATGAGGCAGAAAGTCAGATCAGCAACCTGGGACTTGGTCACAATTTTCGTGATGCCATATAGCAGCAGGGTCTACCATTAGACAACACATTATGCTTCCAATATCTTCCCAGGCGGTAGTACCTCCCTGTTTGGTAGCTGCCTACTACTCCCCTTCCCCCTTACCCCCCTTACTAAGTCTCCTACTACCGCCCCCTTACTTCCCTTTACCTCCTAATACCTTCTTCCCTTTACCTTCTAACCTCCCACTCCATTCCTCACCCTCCAACCTCCCACTCCAACTCTCCCCCTCACCTTCCAACCTCTCACTCCAACTCTTCCCCTCACCCTCCAACCTCCCACTCCAACTCTCCCCCTCACCCTCCACCCTCCCCACTCCAACTCTCCCTCACCCTCCAACCTCTCACTCCAGCTCCCATATCCACCCCTCCCTCACTATCCAATCCTAACATTTCACTCCACCGATCCTGACACTCCACCAAGTCACAACCTCCCACATCCATCCACCTCCCATCCTCAACCCCCCTCTGCCTCCATCCCTGCACCTTCCCCCTCTCCTCGTCCCTCTGCCCCCCCCTTCGCTCATCCCTCACCGGCCTCAGTCAGCTCCAGTCAGCAAAATAACTGAGGGTGACTGGTAGGGACTTTGGCCGCTGATGGTGTTTAGGGCCAGTTTATATAATTGACCACCACCAGTTGCCAAAAGCCAGATATATTTTTTCTTCTTCTGAAATTGGTCCACAAATGTATCCAATTTTTTTTTTTTTTTCTTTGGGGATTTTTTTTAACTTATTTTCCTCAAGTTGTTGTTTATATGTGTGTGTTTTATTTTCATTCAAAGTGATGTTTTTTTTTTGTAAGTGTAATTAGTAAAAGGTTTCCGGTTATTATTTCCCTTTAATAATTATTTGAGTACGATGATTTAACCTCTTGAGTACGATGATTTAACCTCTTGAGTCCGATTAGTTAACCTCTTTAGTACGATAAATTAACCTCTTGAGTACGATGACTTAATCTGTTGACCACGATAATTTAACCACTTCAGTACAATGATTTAATCGCTAAGTCATCGTACTCGAGAGATTAAGACATCGTATTCAAGAGGTTAATTAATCGTACTCAAAGGGTTAAGTCATCGTACTCAAAGGGTTAAGTCTTTATGTGGTAGGGAAATACTACGGAATATAAAGATTGTTGTGAAATATAACAGGAGCAGATCAGAGACACAGGTGAGGGGTGTGTTGTCCTGGTGACTGTGAACTGGTCGACAGGTGACCCAGTTCTGTGTGACAATTGATTAAGAAAAATATGAGAGTGAGTCTATCAAGGTCTCTCTCTCTCTCTCTCTCTCTCTCTCTCTCTCTCTCTCTCTCTCTCAGATAAGCTCCTTGAGGTACGGTGGCGTGGCAAACGGCAGGTGTCAAGGGGCGGCAGTTGTCAAGTGTCTTAAGGAAGGATGAGTTATCGTGTCACCTCCTTGTCCTGGGTCGAGCGTCTTGACCGAGTAGTTCCTTGACCGATTAGTTCCTTGACCGAGTAGTTCCTTAACCGAGTAGTTCCTTGATCGAGTAGTTCCTTGATCGAGTAATTCTTTGGTTAAAAAAAGTTGATGACCACTGAGGGAGGGAGGAGGAAAGACAGGACCCTCCACTCCCACCCCCCCTCCCATTTAACCTCACCCCCACCCCCGTCCCCCTGACCCTCTCCTTCTTGTCTCCTTGACCCGCCCCTACACTTTTCATATACCCTCTCACCCCCTACCCCCGTCCCCCTGAACCCCTCCTCCTTGTCTCCCTGACCTGCCCCCATCCTGTTACCCTTCACCCCACCTGTCCTCTGACCCTCCTTCTTGTCTCCCTGACCCGCCCCTACACTCCCTATTTACTCTCTCACCCTACCCTCCGTCTCCCTGACCCCCATTTACCTCTCACCTCTACTCTCGCTTGACCCCTTCTCCTTGTCCCCTGACCCCCCATTTACCCTCATTCTCTACCTCCTCGTCCTCTGACCCCCTTCTCCTTGTCCCTGACCCCACCCTGTAGTGGTCAGGAACATTCAATACATCACAACCTTGTCGATACCACGTGGGTCCTGATTACCACGACCTGATCACCTACAGGAGGGGGGTA